TCCTCCTCCTCCTCCTCCTTCTCCTCTCTCTCTCTCTCCTCTCCTCTCTCTCTCCTCCTCCTCTCCTCCTCCTCTCTCTCCTCCTCCTCTCCTCCCTCTCCTCTCCTCTCCTCTCCTCTCCTCCCCTCTCTGCTCCCCTCCTCTGTCTCCCTGTTCTTTCCCTTTCTGACCACTAGGCTCAGTGGAAGTCAATCTGGAGGAGATGGACATTGTGCTAAAGGAAAGGTGAAATCAAATTTACCACAGCTCTCTTCCTCCCCACCCTCCTCCTCTTCTCCTCTACCTCTTCCTCCCCACTCTCCTCCTCTTCTCCTCTACCTCCACTCCAGCCTTCCTCTTCTTCTTCCAGTTTCATGACTCGTCATCTTCTTCTGCTTCTCCTCTCCTGATCGCCTGCTTGTCCTTATGTCATGCGTGCACTTCTCCAATATGTCTTCTCTTTCTCTTCCTCTTCCTTACTCACGTTGCAGGTCGTCGAGCGAACAAGTTCTGCAGGGAGAAGTCAAGAGGCTGAACGATCAGATCGCTCGAGTATTTCACCGCTTCCCCTTGCGCCCCATTACTGACTTTGAAGTTTGCAGATGACTGCTGGAGGCAGCCAGGTACGTTCTCATCGCTCCTCCTGCTCCTTATGCGCCTCCTCCGCCCCCCCCCCCCCCCTCCCCGTCCACCACCCACCAACACAATCCTGCTCCTGCCCCTGCTCATCCTCCTACTCTATGAGCTCCTCCTCCACCACCTTCTCCACCACCACTACCTCCTCTTCCTCCTCCTTCCTCTCTCATTATCTTTTCAGTCTCAGCAAGACAACCGCGGGCCCTCCAAGTCTTCCTGGGATGTCAGTCTCCTTTCGCAGATTTGTAACCATCGTGTAACCGATCACCCTGAACCGGCAGGAGGAGAAGAGCGCTTTGCTGAGAAGCTTCGAGGAAGAGAAAGTCTCCCGCAAGTCTCTCGTGTCAAGTCTGACCGTTACCATGGCAGCGAAACATCTTTCGGCATTTCTTGTTGCAGCGGGAGAAGCTGGAAGCGGTGAGAGGAGGAGGAGGAGGAGGAGGAGGAGGAGGAGGAGGAGGAGGAGGAGGAGGAGGAGGAGGCTCACTGATGCGCAGAAAGTGCAAGAGATTGAGTCAGCATTTGAGAGGGCGATCGAGCTGGAGAGCAAGAGACGGACACCTGACAGGTCGGGAGGAGGAGGAGGAGAAAGGGGAGGAAGACGAGTGAAAGAAAGAGAGGGGAATGAGCCGGAGTAGAGAAGGAGATTGAAGATACTGAGATGCTGGATGATGGTTGAGAAATATTTGCAGGTTGAGCTTCGCATCGCAAGAAAGCAAGGATAGCGACTCCGTCCAATCCCTTGATCTAGAGAAAGCTGGTAAGGGGGAGGGGGGAGGAGGAGGAAGAGAGGGGGAGGAAAATGAGCAGTTGGGGCGGGTTGGAAAAGGGGAATGGGGGGGGGAGGAAAACGAGGAGTTTGTTGCTGGGGGTGCCTGTAAGGCATGATGGTGTCAGGCTTTGATGCCGACGACATCACGAGCAAGTTCTCGAGCTCTCATCCCAGCTATCAAGGTAGCTGCCTGACATCGATAGGTGATGGTCACTTGAGATGTCAGGGGAGGAGGAGAGGGGAGGAGGAGGACGACAAGACGAGGTAGGATGCGAGTTGGTCCTGCCCTTTGATGACTCGCACCTTTTGGAACCCAAAGTCGTCTACAGCAGATAGAACATCCAGCAAGTCCAGCAGCGCAAGCCTGGGGCTCTACCTGGACAGCACGGTCACGCACTCCTCTCTTTGTTGCCCTCCAAGTCTTGTCATTCCTCCGCCCCCCGTCCCTCCCCTATTGCCTCCCTCCCTTCCTCCCCTCATCTCCCTCGTCTCCCTCCCTCCCTCCCCCTCTCTCCTCTCTCTCCCTCCCTGTCGCTTTCCTCCCTTCCTTCCCCCTCCCCCCGTCTGAATTCTTCGAGCAGAGGATCATCAGGATCCTTCCAGGCTCCATCGCAGCTCGTGCAGGCCTGACGGTTTCTCAGCTGCTCTGCTGGGCATGAATGACGTCAAGGGCAGGAAGGCGATGAGATCAAAGTCATCAACGGCGCTCTCACCAACAGCTCCACGTGACTTGATATGCTGGAAGAGAGCTGGGCCTGACATGTTGCTCTAGATGCGGGCCCATGCTGAGGGAGGGCGTCGGGGAGCAAGAGCTTGACCTGACTGTCAACCGCAGAGGACATGTACGTCCCGTCCCACTCCCTGATACCTTTTCACTCCTTCCCCGTTCCCTTGCTACCATTCCACCTGATCTCCACTCTCCTCCTCACCATCAGCTCCTCTGCCCCTATGTGGCAGTGTTTCTAAAAGTGCTGGTAGAACATCAAGATTTCTGTCTTCCAAGGAGAAGCCGGCAAGGTAGTTGATCGCTCACATGACACCTTTGTACATGACCAGTAGCCCTCAGACTTCGAGCATGCGAGACGGGAGGGAGATTGTATTGTAACAAAGTGTAAATGCTATCACACATATGATGCACCTGTACCTCTCACTCGTCTTCCATCTCCTCTCCCTCCACTGCTCCTTCCTCTGACTGCGCCACCCCTTCAGTCGTCTCCTCCTCTCGGATCGTCGTCTCTTCCTCCCCATCATCGTCGAGCTCTTTCTGTGAGAGATGGTGGCTGATGTATCCTATCACCTCAAGCACGCAAGCTGTATCTAGAGCGACACCTGTCTCAGGCTCTACCCGCGATTGTTTCTTCTTCTTGGACCTCTTGGCTTGCTGGGCCTGCAGCTTTTGAGATTGGTAGAGGTGGCTGCCTGTGTTGAGACGGACGAAGCTCCTGCTCTTCTCGCTCGACCGCAGAGCTTGTTGCACGTCTCGATCCGCGATGACAAACGACTGGATGTCAAGGATACTTCCCAGCTTTCTCCGCGTGAACTTCTTGTTGGATGACTTGAGGTACAGGTCGACTCGCGTCCACGCATGTCCCTGCCCGTGTTTGGGCTGGGTGCCATGTCCCAACATGCTCGACGGCTGGAAGAATGTCTCCTGCTCCAGGTTGACGATGCACCAGCCGTTCCATGACAGCCGGGTGAAGTCAGCGACCATGTAGCCCATCTGCTTGTGCCCGGGGTCGAGGGCCTTGAGCACGACCGAGCTGTTGACCAGCCGGTTCCTGAAGACTTCGATGCCGTTAATCGGCTTTGCGGCCTTGAGGTGGAGCTGACGGATCGCGCTCGCGTGGTCGACCATGTCTTCTGGGATCATGTCGATGGACCTGAGCTCGGCAACGACCGTTTCTTGAGGGTGGACGAGCAAGTCGTAGAGGCTGAGCTTCACAGCCTGCGCCTGCGTCTTGCCGACCTCCCTGACGTCATTCAGGTACTTGAGACGACGCGAGTAGTGCAAGTCCTTCTTGCTCCAGTTCCTGAACTCGAAACGGTCCGCGATCTTGTCGCGTATCTCCGCCTTCTTGCGCCGAGCGACGAGGAGCCTGAAGAAATCGTGGATGATGAGGGCGTAGGCCATCAGAGCCACCTCCTCCACCCGGTCCATCCTCGCTTCCTTCACCGCCTCGGGGACCATGCGCGGAACCCTCCAGTAGAGGAGGACGAGCATCAGGTCTTCGAAGTACACCGAGGAAGAGAACTTGGGCTTCTTAGGGCCCCCGAGCCTCAGGAACCTCTGCAAGAATCCATGCCGCTTGCTGATCTCGTTGTTCTCGTGCCTCACCGCCAAGTTCAGCTCCGCTCGCACCAGCACCTCGCACGCCTTCTCGTAGGGGCCGTACTGCACGCTCTCGTCCGGCTGCAGGAACCCCAGGGGAGCAGGCAGATCGAGCAAGAGCGAGTGCAGGCTGACCAGAGGCATCCTGCCAGTCATGCCGTCGTACCGCTGGAACACTTCGCTCATGACTGCGATCTGATCGCCCGAGGCACCGTGAGTCCAGCTGCTGTCCTCGACCTGAGCGACGTCGTCGGTGATGTAGCTGAAGTTGTCTAAGATCATACCGATGAAGAGGTTGAGCATGACGCTCTCGCAGACCAGCTTGAAGAAGACGAACCAAGGGAACGAGAGAGAGCTGCCGCAGTCGCCGAACGACTTCCCTTCGAACTGGAGCGTGCATGCTGGAGGTGAGACCTGGCAGTCCACCATCATCGACTGCCACTCGTCTCCCGTCACCAGCTGGAAGATCGTCTGCAGCGCCACCGGAAAAGTCTCGAAGTTAGCAGTCGGCCCGATCCTGCTTCCGTACTTGACTACCCCGAAGACTTGGACGAACACCACGGCAAACATGGAGTAGACGAGGAATAGAAGGACGACGATGTTGAGAAGCTGCTTGATGCTCTGCAGGAAGGTCTCCATGATGATCCTGATGGGCTTGAAAGCTTTCATGAGCCTTATCACCCTCATCAGTCGAAACACCCTCGCCCCTGCGCTGATTTTTGGATTGTTGGCGATGTAGCCCGAGCCGGTTCCAAGGGCTACAAACAGGTCAAACCCCTTCCAAGGATCGTTGTAGAAGCCTCCTGGCCCGTAAGCAATGAGGAAGATACACACTTCAAAGACGAGTAGACCGAAGAAGACGTCGTTCTGCAACGTCAAGATAGTCTTCAAGGTTTTTCCTGAATCTGTGTTCTCCATCAACATGAATATGACGTTGATACAAACACAGGTAGTCGACCATGTCTGGAACGTTCTACTTTCAGCAACTCTCTGGAACAATGTACTAACAATATTCTTGGGCCTCTTGAAGTACTCGTAGTATGGTCGGTGAGAGTTGACCTGACGCGTGAAGCGATGAAAGAGAACTTCTTGAGGGGAGGATCCTTTGTTTGCGTTGAACCCATCAATGATGAAGCCGACGAACAAGTTCATCACAAAGAGTCCTCCTATGATCAAGTAGACAACGAAGAAGAGTGAGTTGATGGGGCTGTAGTTGGTCGAAGGGCTCTGATCGATGTTTGTGATGTCCATGCAAGCAAAGATGATACTGACGTACTTGAATGTCGTGACTCTGAACAGGCTGATCATCGCCGAGTAAAAAGAGTCAAAGTTGAAGTCCGGGTTGTTCCACGCCGAAGGGATCATATATCCCGCGTCATTCACATAGTAGCCCATACATTCCTTCTTTCCCAGCGGGAAGTCTGCTACCGGGGTATTGCAATATTTCAGCTTCCCTCCAAACAGCCCAACAGCCATGAGTGCGCCGACGATGAACGTGAAGACGGCGAAGATGATGACATACCAGACAGGCAAGAGCGTGCTGATGAGAGCATCAATCACCACTCGCATCCCTTCGTTCCTCTTCATCAGTCGCAGAGGCCGCAGAGCTCGTGACATCCTGACGACCTTGGCTAGTTTCCCTTGCGTCAAGACCCCCGACTCCTCAATCCATGCGAACATGAGAACCAGAGTATCCATCTTGTTCCACCCGCTCTTGAGGTAGGCAGTCTGCGTGAAGTAGAGACCATTCGCCATGATCTTGCAGCCGAACTCAACTGTGAAGACAAAAACAAACACACGGTTCCAGTACGCCATCGCAGTGTAACTCACGATTGGGTCATAGCCCATGTCCTCGTATGGCGGAGTGATGATGAGGAAGAAGCAGCTTCCGAGGATGGCGGAGTACACAAACAGGTCGAAGATGTATTGCTTGCCCAACCAGACGAAAAACCTGCGGATCGGGCTGTACGGATAAAAGAAGAATAGGACGCGCTCCTCTAGGATCTCATCCACCACAGTCTTGACCACAGTGAGGTTTGTGACTTCCTTCAAGATCTTGGAGATGTGCGACTCATCGGCTCCTCCTTGATGGTAGTTGGGTATCAGGTCGTCCGCCTTGGCTGAAGGCAGGGCCTCGTGCATGGCCTCCTCCTGGAGCTTCTGAAGTTTCAGTCTGGACCTTGCCGGTAAGAGTGAAGGAACCGATTGTCCTCGAGACTCCAGGTTCCTTCCGATGATGCGAGAGTTTGCTTTGTAGAATCCCTCATATGCCTTCTTGAACAACTCACGGACTTTTGCTGCGTTTCCTGGTTTTCCTATGTTCTCGATTGTTACCGATATCTCGAAGTTTTCGATGATCACCGCAACGAAGAGATTATTCAAGATCAAGCTCGCAAAAACAAACCAAGACATTATGAAAAGGCAGACAAATATCTGCATTGATGTAGAGTCTTTTGCATACAAGGAACTATAAAGAACTCCTGACCATGAATCTCCGATGAGAAGCTGAAACATGGTCAAGCTGGCCAGAATGAAGGAGCTAAAGTTAGATCGTGTCAAGTCTCTCATGCAATTCTCTGAGACAGAAATGTCACAGTTCAAGATATACCTTCCAGCTATGACAAAACAAATGCCAACCATGACAATGAAAATGAAGACATTTGCAATCGCTTGCACACTTGAAACAGCTGAGAATAGAAGCGATTCCAGAGTAGGAAAATAACTCATGAGCCGATAAAATCTCAACGCGGGAAGCAGCAACAAGATGGGATCATATGTGATTACCCCAATCATTCCAACTAGAACCAAAACGAATTCGAATTTGTTGAAATTATCCTTCCAAAACTTCACCACGCCGCCGCTTTCTATCAGTCTCAGCAAGGATTCAGACATGAAGTAAAGATTACAGAACAAGAAACTCCAGTAAGCATTCTGCTGCCACTGCACCGGAGCATCGTACTGGTTTCCAGCCATCGCCACGCCATGAACCATCATCACTAGGTTGGTGAAATGCCTGAAGTACTTGTTCTTTAGCAGGCGAGCAGATGCTTTCTGAACAACGGCCTCTCCATCTGTGTTGTCATCCATGATATCAGAGAAGGCTGAAGTGCGGGTATGGTCTTCTAACTCAGCATCTTCTTCAGATTCAAGGAAGCCACTCTTGCCTGTCTGACTCGCTTCTCTCACTTTCTTGAACGTCCCAGTCACCACAGCCACGAAGATTCCGACCATCAAGAACGTACACAAGATGGTGATCATGGCCCACAAGAAGTAGGTGCCAATCATCGCCTCGGGCTCACTCTCAATCGATCGCAACAGGAAGTCGTACGAGCTGTCAGGCGCTACCAGTTGGCTGATGACAAGCATCCCATCTCCGATGTTGTCAAAGTTTGCGAAGCCATTGTTGGGGTTGCCTTCTCTTCCCAGGTCGTCGCACATTTCAGTGACAGGTTTCCCCGCATCAAACTCGCTCATCTGACAGCTGTGGTATCGCCCGTAGGGGTCGCGCGGGTACTTCTTGTTGTAGGACGCGATGCTCTTGGCGTCTTGGATCACAGGGTACGTCAAATTCTCCGGCACGGGCTGCCCAGCAGGAATGGCTATCGCGTATATTTTGCACCAGGTCTCGAACGGATAACCGCCGGCTATGGCAACCTGACCGGGGGCCTGAGTCTTGGTAGCACTCAGGTTGTGCAGGTCACAGGTGTTAGCCCACCCGGTGGAGGAGTCAGAGGCGCATGCTGGGATTTGACGCGACAGCGTGACACATCTCCTCCTGTATGACCTCGCGTAGATCGAGTTCCCGAAGATGGCAAACGCAGCCATCAGGAAGGTCAACATGGCGAATATGGTGGCAAGCTGCTGGAGACCCTGGGAAACAAGAGCATGAGGAGCTACAAGCGGCTGACAGTACATCATTACACACCTGCTTGAGGGTGAGGATGATCGCCTTCACCCCTGCAAGCGCTCTGATTTTCGTGAGAATGCGAAAAATTCGCAGCAGACGAAAAGCCCTGAGGTTGAGGAAGGGATAAGCCAAAAGTTTCCCCAGGTACTCTACGCCAGTGACTGTGATGATGAAGAGCTCAATCTTGTGCATGTCCGTCGACCGCAACCATGTGGACTCCGCAGAGTACAGCCCACATGCAATGATGCCGCAAAGAGCTTCGAAGAGCATGACTGCAAAACACAGCCCATCAAATATTTGAAATGATCTTGCAAAGGTAGATCCATTTCGAAAGTCGATGTAGGCTGGATAGAGGGCGATGTAGATGCTGTTTGACAAAACAACCTGGAAGGGTTTGAGACCATCTAGAGACAGAGCGACATATTACCATCAAGAAGAATGTGGACCACTTTACACTCTTATAGATCTCGAAGCATTGCTGTCGGATCAGACTTCTCCTGTTGAATCCTCCGAAGAAGTACGGACAGCTGACAGGAACGAAATCTTCCAATGTTAGGAGCTTTTTCTGTATATGTTGTCAAATGTCGCATGCAAACAGCAAACAAGGTGACCGGTTTCTTGGGGTCTGATATCTCCACATGCATGTGTTCCGGATTTTTGTCGTCGTCACCCCCATCAAACGTGTCCCAATGATTCAATTTCTTGTCTTTATCTTCATGGCCCTGCAAAGAGACTAGTTTGTCAGCGTCTTGTAGCTCGCGATAAGATTGGGGACATTATCCAAGGTTGCATCCTGTCTTTGCGATCTCTCTCCTTTCTCTGTCATCACATCAACTAAAGAGTTCATGATGCAGTGCGCAACATCATCACCTTGTTTGTAGCTCATCTCCTCTCGAATGATGTTTCGGAGTGTGCTTGGAGATAGCGGCCGGATATATTGCGGCATTTCACTGCGCAGTCGCCCAATTAGCACAGGGTCAAGCATCAAGGTTGGGATGCGCATTACTGAGGTTTATCGTAGGTTTGAACCTTATTTAGCGGATTAGCATTCTCAAAACCATTGTCCAGCCTTGTAGGTAAGTCAATCACTTTCATCCGCCCCATCGCACACATACAGAGGCTCTTGGACAGGAGCGGGCAGCGCCGTGGGGGAAGCAGCAGCAGTGGCTGCGTTAGGTAGTTGTATGTCCAGAGGTATCTGGGGAGATGTGACTTCCCTCAAGGATGCAGGAGTGTGTCGCACATTCTCTTGAACATCTTCTCCCACGTTCTTCAAGCGCCTTAGCTTCTGTTCCAACAGTTGTAGTCGTTTGAGCTTCTCCTGCAACATGGTCAAATCAATCATGTAAAGACTGCTGTCAGGCTACCTCAAGGTCCGACAGTCGTTTCTTTGCCTTCTCCGACTGATTGAATTTCCATCTGGCATTCAAAGAGGTCAAGGGAGCAAGGGCCCATGAAGGTGATATACTTCTGGTACTCGGACGATGACAATCCTGGCGGCGCGTCGTGCTGTTTGCTAACTGCATACCTTGGGTCACAGGGATTCATCATGTTCCAGGCCTTTCAGTACCTGCATTCTCCCATTCTTTCTTGATGCCCTCCATTTGATCTCCAAGCTCTTTCCTCACAAAGGAAAGTTTGTCGTCTGACATGTTCTCGCCGTTTGATCAAGCCTCCCCGGTCTTGTTGCGTTCAGATCAACCTTGTTCAGTTTGTTTCTTCATCTGTGACTCGCCCACCTCTCGACCGCAAAGCGACAAGCAACTCTAGCAGCAAGCGTCTCTTGGACTAAGCTCTTCTCCTTCACAGCATCTCCTGTCTCTCCTTTTCTTCGCCATCTCCTCCTGCCGTGTGTTGCAACCCGGCGCCTCTTGCCGGCTGGGTCTGCATGGATGCCGTACCTAACTGAATGGATTTCTGTAACCGTAGTAACGCTAACTCCTCAACGGCGGCGGTCCCAGGTCCGGGACTCGAGTCCCGGTCCCAGTGACGACTCCCGAGCTGAGCCGGGGCGGGCCCGGCCCGGCGGCTGCCAGTGGAGGGGGGCCGGCCCGCAGAGGCTCGGGCTGCCGGGGACGGCGGCCGCGGGGACTCCGCGGCTTTCCGGGGGGGCGCCATGCACGCCGCTAAAGCAATCGGGAGCTGAGCAGGCGAACTTCTCGGATCCGAGGGTGGGCGATCCCCGTACCGTACGCGCGGCCGTACCGCTCACCGGGCCGCGTCACTGTCAACGTCCGATCCGCAGCCCGGCATACCGGTGTTGACAGGTTTGGGTCAAGACCGAGTTCTAAGTGCACAAGAAACAAGCCTTCCGAGCAACTGAGGCGCGAGCTCAGTAGTCACTAGGCTGCGCGACACAGCTCAGGACACAGCTATCAATTTGACCTGCTATCTGGCTGGCATGGCTAAGCCTGTTGGGGGATGAGAGGTGAGGAGGCTAGTCAATTTGAGGAGCCGCGGGGTCATCATGGTACGAGCGGCGAAGACAGGAAATGTGACGTTCGAGGGGAGCAGAGCAGGTAAGGAGGTGAAGAGGAGAGATGAGGAGATAGTTTTGGATTAACTTGGGTCCATGGCAGAATTGCAGAAGAATGCCTTTTCCAACTCACAGCAGGGAAGTCAAATGCAGCAGGTTTGTACTCCAATCTGATTCCTAGCAGCTTCCTTAGACAAATTGGTCAGGCTTTCCAATCCAGTGCCAAGTGGAAAGCAATCTTCGCTACAATAGCTGGTTGTGGTTATACCGCTCAATTGAGGACTTGTTTTTGAAGCTGTTTGCTCTCAGAGCAAACGAACAAGGATAAAGACTCCTCTACTTATGCAGTCAATCAAGTCAACGACTCGGACACTGGGAAAGGTGTTGTTGTCTCCGAGAACGCGTCATGAGTTGTTGATCGGTTGATCGTAGATGGCTCTTCTTCACTAGCTCCATTCTTCATCCGAGGTCCTTTCTCCGTGTTTGATTGGGTAGTCAAGCCTCGCGCCCATTGCTGCTCTACTTATTGCATAATTTACAAGTTTCGATCGCTGGTCTCACAAGGGAGGATCCGCTATGAGATGGACGGGTTCAACCTGGACTTACGGTAAGCGGAGATAACTATCAACCCATGCTCTTGCTCCCTGAGAGCGTACTCAGATACATCACTCCAAACCTCGTGGCCTTCGGATATCCGGCAGAGCGGGTACGACGTCTCCGTCTTGTTGTTGCCACTCACAGCAAGTGGCAGACGCTGATAGAAAGAGTCACGAGAAACCATATCAATGAAGTCATTCGGTTCATCAACAAGAAACATCGTGGGAAGGTAGCGCTTAGTTGCTGTGCAGTAAGCAGCTCGTTTGAGACTTCGAAAAGGTCCTTGTCATGAATCTTGTCGGGGAGGCTGATGAATGTCTCTACAACTTCGCAAAGTTCCCCAAGGCAACTCATTCTCCCTCTTGTCTCCTCCTTCCCCTCTTATACTATCGCAGGTCTGCACGGATTGCGCCTTCCTCGACCATGGAGTGCCTTCCCTGGTCCAGGTGAGTCGCTGGACGCGCGCGCTCGAGCGAGAGCTGAGCCACACCATCAGATGCAGACCTTCTGTCAGATGACTGCCGCCCACCTCGCCCAACCAGGTCTGACCTGCCTGCCTGCCTGCCTGCCTGCCTGCCTGCCTGCCTGCCTGCCTGCCTGCCTGCCTGCCTGCCTGCCTGCCTGCCTTCTTTCCTCATACCGTACCTTTGCTTGTTTGCTGAGAGGATCTTTCAGGGAATGTTGTCTTCGCTCATTGCAAGGTCTTTACACCATGAAGTTCCCCCGCTAGTCAGATTGCTGAACCTCTGTCCCATCCTCACAGGCTGGCAAGGGACGGACGGGGCTTATGATCTGCTGCTACCTTGTATGCCCCTTGCCCACTGCCTTCTGCCGTAGCCTCACTACTTCCAGCTGTACGCCTACAGACAGTTGTTCCCGTCTGCTACAGAGGTCGCCCTTGCCCCCTAGTCCCCCTTGCCCCTTTCCTCCCTCCTCCCTCCTCTCCCCTCTTGACCCCAAGGGCTACTAGGCCATCAAGTTCTACTCGTGGAGGAGGATGAGGAACGGGGAGGGAGGAGTGTCTATCCCCTCCCAGATCCGGTAAGTGCCTACCCCTCCTCCTCTCCCACCTCTCCGACGCTTCTGCAGTTACGTCGGTTACTTCTCCCAGCGATTTGCTGCCAAACCCGGTGAGTCAAGATGGAAGAGCATCGGGAGGTTGACGCCCAGCACAGGCCCAGCTGAGATCAGTCGGATCGTTATCTCCAACTCCGAGCTGAGCATGGGGAAGCTGCGGCTGGTCATCTCGATGAACATCACAGGGTCGGACAAGGTTGGAGGAGGGGAAGGAGGAGAAGGAGGAGGAGGAGATGTCAGCAGGACGTCATCCTCCCTCGCAGGGAAACGCGTCTTCTGAGCAGATCGTCTACAACTCAAAGGGAAAGAACGAAGGTCACTATCCAACGCTCAGCTCCTCCTCTCACCCGGCCCTCAGGAATGCCAATCAACGACACGTCAAAATACGTCATCTTTCATTTTGACAAACGGTTGAGGTGAGGAGCTCTGGTGGGACTTGGTCTCGTCCCCTCCTGAGGTGCGACGTCAGGGTGGCGGGAGATGTCTGCGTGCGGGTGTATGGCAGGAAGTATCATTCCTCTCCCTTCGTCCTGGTCTGCCAGCTCTGGTTCAACACTGGTAGAGGAGGAGGAGGGACGTATGAAGTGCTCGACATTATGTCGATTTCGATGGTGATGGTGATGATTTCGATGGTGATGGTGGTGTTGTCATATTATGATATGTTTGTTCATGATGCGTTCAAAGTTGAGTTCGGTGATAATGTGCTTGTTGATGTAGAAGGTGTTGTTGTTGTTGGTGATGATCATGATGATGATGGTAATGTGATGTGCTCGTAGGTTTCATAGATCACACTCCGATGGTATTTGACAAGTCCTGCTTTGACCGCATCCCCAAGAACCTCCGGTCTGCCAGCTTCCCCAGCAGATTTGCAGCGCGTTAAAAGTTTGACAGCAAGCAACTGGGCGACGACTTTCACATTCAGATCTTGTTTGCAGACCAGGTGACCCTCCTTGTCATGCTCCACTATCTCAGCTTGTCATGTCAGCCGCGCGTCAAGTGCGCAGTCACTCATGCAACCTCGCGCGTCTACTGCTGGGACTGCTCGTACGACCTGCTCCTCCCCTCGTTCTCCCGCCCTCCTCCCTTCCTCTGTCCTTCAGTTGCTCTCCTACCTTTTTTCTCTTCTCTTCTTCTCTGCTCTCATCGACACCTCTCGTTTGATATGTCTCCTCGTCAGCATTCCTTTCATGAGCATCGAGCACTCCAACGAGGTTCACGCGCCCAAGATCACAGTAGACCAGGACAACTTGTCCCGACTCACTCAGACAAAGAGCAACCATAGGTGACGAGCGGAGAGGGAGGAGAGAGAGAGGAGGGAGAGAGAGGAGAGGGAGAGAGGAGGGAGATCAGATCAAGAACCCCTTGGGGAGGGGAGGGAAAGGCAAGGAGATTGAGAGGTGGAGGAGAGGCAGGGAGGAGGAGAAGAAAAATCAAGTTGCTTGTGAATAAGTAGGATGATGAGGGAGGACAAGGAGGAGGAAGACAAGGACACGGAGGAGGAGGAGGAGGAGGAGGAGGAGGAGGAGGAGGAGGAGGAGGAGGAGGAGGAGGAGGAGGAGGACAACAACCACCACCCCCCCCCCTGTGATCAGTAGGATCATCATCTCCAACAAGATGATGATGATGATGATGATGTTGATCGTCATCACGAGAAACGGAGGAGGAGGAGGAGGTGGAGGAGGAGGAGGAGGAGGAGAAGGATGATGAGGAAGAAAAGACTATGATAGGTTTCGTCAAGTTGTGAAGTTTGATTCCTCCTCGAAGGTTTCATCCTCTTGTAGAAGAAGATTGCTCCTTCTGTCTTTCTCGAAAGCTTGACGAGCTGAAGGCAAACCCTCTGTCTCCCCCTCGCTCTACTTCGATCCCTTTCCTTCCGCCTCTCACTCCTTCCGCCGTCCTTCCTTCCTCTCGCTTCCCCTTGCTCCTCCTTCTCCTTCCTTACAACCACCGCTGCCACCAATATCTCCTCTTCCTCCTCCTCTTCCTGCTCAGCTCAGCTCTGCTTCCACTCTCATTGGATCTTTCTGCTTCCAACTCTGAAAACTTGCCGAGAGCAGGAGGAGCAGCGAGATGCAGCAGCGAGGGGAGTTCAGTGAGTGACGAGGAGGAGGAGGAGGGAGCGGAGGTGACGGGGAGCAGGGGAGCAGGGACCAAGTTCAACTCCACGAACCTCAAGCTGGAGCGCGAACTCCGAAACTTCGACGAGGTCAAGACGGACGTGATAGAGACATATCGAGTAAGCGAGGAGGAGGAGGAGGAGGAAAGGAGGATGGTAGTGGTGGTGGAGGATCAGGAGGAGGAGAGAGAAGCAGAAGAAGAAGAAAAGGATGATGAAGAGGAGGAGGAGGAGGTAATGATGGTAATACCCAACAGAAACAGAGGAGGGCGGAGGAGGCGAACTCCGACGATCAGATGAGAAGTCATGATCTCTGAGGGTCCTTGAGTTTCACCTGATGGTTGGGAACAGGCAGTGCCATCCACCAGTACTATGAGGCAAGAGCACAGAAATGGCAGAGATACAAGGTGACCTGCTTCTCCTCGTCCTCGTCCTCGTCCTCGTCCTCGTCCTCGTCCTCGTCCTCGTCCTCGTCCTCGTCCTCGTCCTTGTCCTCGTCCTCGTCCTCGTCCTCGTCCTCGTCCAAAACTCCTCATCGTTTCCCTTCTGTTCGTGATTTATTCGTTCTTGTCTGCCCCTCGACTCCTTCGGCATCCATTATCCTATGAATCTACTCCTCCTCTATCAGCACTCGAATTTACACCTCTGCTTCTTTGTGTCCTCAGAGACTCCTCTCCTCCTCTTCCTGCCGCACCTTCCTCCTCTCCTCGTTTCTACAATGTCTCGTCTCCTGCGCTCGGCTCTCTCCCTCTTTCACCTCCCTTCCCACTTACGCTCATCCCTCTCCTCCCTCCCCCTTCTACGCTCTTCCCTGTTCCTACTCTCTTTCTCCCTCTCCCTTTCCCTTCCCCTCCTCCCACCTCCATCCTCCCACCTCCCTCCTCCCTCCTTCTGCTCCCCCTGTTCCTACTCTCTTTCTCCCTCTTCTTTTCCCTTCCCCTCCTCCCACCTCCCTTCTCCCTCCTTCTACCTCGCTCCTCGCTCCGCCCTTTCCCCCCTCTCTCCTGCATGTTCTCTCAACCTCCAGCAGGACGAGCTGGAGCTGCTGAAGAAAGAGCGCGAACGAGACATCGTACGGCACAAGAACGTGGAGGCTCCGACCCTCGGTTATCCCTCAACCTTCGCTCCTGAGACTGGACAGTTTCTCTGCCCCTGGTGAACTCCCTTCCTCTCCCTGCCCTCCCTTCCCTCCTCCTCCTCTTCCATTCCTCTTTGTCCTCCTCTCCTCTCCTCTCCTCTCCTCCCTGTCTTCTCCTTTCCTCTCCTCTCTTCCCTTTGCTTCTTTTCTCGTATCCTCGCATTTTCTCACCTGTTCTTCATCTGCTGACACTCTTCAGGTGTACCAAACACCTTCTGCCCCAGCACTTCACCCGCTACAACATCCCGACGGTCTGGCTCCTCCTGCTCCTCCTGCTTGGCCTGTTCCCCTTGCTCCTCCTCTTCCTCCTGCTCCACATGCTTGTCCTGCTGGTCCTGTCCAATTACTCCATGTTCCTCTCTCCTCCTCTCTATCTACCTCCACCTCCTTTGCCTCTTTTTCACTTCTCCATCGTCCTCCCCTCCCTCCCCTCCCTCTCATCTCTTCCTCTCCTGCTCTCTCACTCATAGCAGGTCCCCGCCTCCGAGCTTCGTTACACAGGATGTGCCCGCCAGGAGTGCTGACTTATCCTGCTCGTCTCCTCGTGTATTTTATTGGAGCTCTTGTTTCCTTGCCTCCCGTTTCTCCTCCTCCTCCTCCTCCTCCCCCTCCTCGTCATCATCGTCGTCATCGTCGTCGTCGCTCGTTTGCTCGTTCGCTGCCTCCCGTCTCTTCTTTCTTGTTTCGCACGCTCATGTCAGCTCTCCTTGCATTCTCTTCTCATACTCAGGGTCCTGCGAGCTCGAAAGTCAGACAAGCAGATCTCCTTCCTTCCTCCTCTTCCTCTCCTTCCTCTTCTTTAGTACTCCTTCCTCTTCCTCTCCTCCCTCCTCGTCTTCATCCTACACTCCTGTTACCTTCCATCTTGCTTTGAGATCCTCGACAAATTCATCCAAAATCCCTGCATAACAAGTAAGAGTTTCCTTCTCGTCCTCGTCCTCGTCCTCGTCCTCGTCCTCCCACTTCACATGCTCACCTTCCATCCTGGCTGTTGGGGGAGGGACAGTCTCCTCCTTATCCAGTTCTTCCGCCCACCTCAAGATATCGCTAAAAGCTCTGCAGTCACTACCTCCATCCACTCCTCCTCCTCTTCCTCCTCCCTCTATGGCACCCTTTCCTGTTACCCTTCCTTCTCCACCACTTGTTCCCCTCCTCCTCCCTCTTCCCCCCCCCCCCTTCTCCCTCCTCCTCCTCCACTTGATCCCCATCCTCCTCCCTCTCTTCCCCTCCCCATCCCCCCTCCTCCCTCTCCT